CCTCACTGGATCCAGATCCGGCGAGGGCTGGACCCTTGCGGCCCTTGCCCAGGTCACGATGGTCTAGGCCTCGCCCTGGCCAGTCGCAAGTCGCCGGCCAAGAAAGAAGAAAAAAAAAATCTCTTCTATTTCTAATTCTTGTTCTCAAAATCAAAAATCAACTTTTTTTTTCATTATTGATTATGTTTCAAAACTGATTCTGGGAACAAATTTGTGCCCGGAAACAAAAAATTTATCAAACAAATTTCTGTTCTTCTTTTGTTCCCGGGAACAAAAAAATAAAATCAGTCACTATTTAGCAAGTGACCAAACACACTCCAAGTCTTCATCAAACAAAGGACTTGCTCTATTGCAAATGATTCATTTATTAGTTGTTTGAAGTGATTTTGGAACTGCAACAGTGTTGCACGACACTTGTCTTTTCCGCGTTGGTCGGTCTAATCAATTGTGACTATCATAGTGGTGGTCAACTCTATCATGGTCTTCGCCTTGTACTAAGCCACGCTGGCCCCCCTCCTCTCCACCACGGGTTGTGCTTGGCTCGGTACCGAAATGAGTAAGGCTAGCCCAGAAGCCAAATTTACCTATGACAATCTAGAGAGATCTCAATCGACCACAACGGCCGCCGCGAAGTGGAAAAAAATCATCCATTCCCTAGTATTCATACAAGTAGTTCGAGATTTTATTGGACTCATATAGACGTCTCTCTCTCTCCATTCCCTAGTATTCATACAAGTAGTTCGAGATTTTATTGGACTCATATAGATCTCTCTCTCTCTCTCTCTCTCTCTCTCTCTCTCTCTCTCTATCTCTCTCGTTATTTTGGCTCAAAAGAAAAGGAAAAAAGAGATTTGTCGATTTGGGAAAATGATGTGACAATTCAGATCGTTATGTTGCGCCGATGCGACAATCGACGCTAGAGAAATGCACATGACATGGCGAAACATTTAATAAAAGGACTGCATCGAGCGGGTTTCTGGGGACCATATTGAAATTGAAGAAAAGTTCAAGGATCGCCCTTGCCATTACCTCATCAAAAAGTACAAACTATGTACCATAATGTGAGAACTATCTATAGCTATCTATATAAAAATGTTGTAGCAAAAATGATTGTGCAAAAAATGAGGCCGATACATCCCTGCACAGAATGGTTGAGTAGACAATTATTGTCACAATTTTCTCCGTCGTATTGTAGATGGATAGAAAACATCGAAACTCTTGAAAACATTCATGCATCTTATCTTGTCCTAGTATGTCGCAATTTGGTGCATTTTGCCATAACTTAAAGGATAAAATCTCACGTTGGCTATGCAAGTAACAAGGACATGATAAGTTGTACCATAGTTCATTTAGCGATAGCGCTTTTCATTTAGTTATACCGATCTCTCCCTCTAACATACACTTCGATTCGAAACATCCTATGTCGTTGAAGTTAGGGGAGTTTTGAAATATTCATTTGTCATTAGGATAGTAAAACAAATGGTCATTGAACTTTGGTTCAATGTGCGATGTGATCCATGAACTGTGGCCCAATGTTCAATATCTTCCCTAGATTTTTAATTTGTTCAATGTGATCTCTCATCTATTGATAAATGTTCAATAGAATCCATAGACTATATGAAAATATTTAAAAATTCATGGATCACATTAAAACAATTAAAAATTTAAGGATGATATTGCAAACTAAGTCAAAGTTCAGGGATCATTTATGTTATTTTTCTTTTGTCATTCATTGTCGCAACATGTCGTACTTGACGTACACTTGCTTTACACGGAAGGACCCTTCGTGGGTCTAATACCATTAGTCTATCTTCGTGGTGTCATTGTTCCTTTTGCAGGGTTAGGCCATACCAGAAAACAAAGTCGATTTACATCAAATGCTCTCCAATTGCATATCATCATTCATCGCCGCCGGAATCGAGCCCTAGGAAACAGTCCGAGCTGCATCACGACAGCCGCCTTTGTCATTGTGGAAGCCACTCAGGCCTTCACCTCTAAAGTCGTTGATGGTGAAGTCGTTGGAGTGGCTTGTGATTCCACTAATACTCTCATGGTAAGTGCTGGTTATGCTGGGGACATTAAGGTCTGTAAATACGTCCAAACATATTTTGCTTCAATTACTAAATCTTTAAATTTTTGTTTCTTGCTTGCGTTTCACACGAAACAAGTCCAGCCAGTTATATATGACATCTTTGATTTACCAACTTGATCCTGACATATATGCAAGTGCTTCTTTGTGCAAATCTTAGTTTTCCCTTTTCAAAACGGACTTTACAGCTCATTGGATTTTGTTTAGGGTTTGTTGGTTTACACTTAAACAAGAGAGAGATGCAACACTGTCATTTCCTCTGAAACTCTAAAATGATTTTCTATGTTAGAATCTTGACCAGAAAAAAAAAAGCCTTACTACTTGTCCATGGAGCAGTTAATTCTTTAGCAAATTATCTAGTTTAAGTTTCCTTGTTGTAGCTTATGTAAAACGTGCAAGCTATGTTTTAATTTCATGCATATGATTTAGCTTCTCTACCTTTCTCCTGATCCTTTAGTAAGTGAAGATCTACCTGCGTGCATGTAGGAAGTGAGATCTATTGGCATGCATGTAGTAAGTGAATATCTTCTGACATGCATGCACACATGACTGGACAGCAAGGTTAAATTGGCTATAGTCTCTGAATATAATTGTCTGTTAATAAAATATAACGATGGTGGTTATGTTGAGTTTTTATGTCGCTGGTCTAGCAACTCCAGCTAATATATACTTTCTTTTCACATGCCTTCCATGATAATTAAAACGAATCATAACTAGGTTTCATGCTCGAGTCTTCATTGATGCCTATTATATATTCGTGGAGTGTGCTTGTTTTTGACTTATGACAAGACGATTGCAATTACGATGCGTTACGACATAAAAAATTATATGAGTACTTTTTAAATTTGTCCAGCTCCCATGAATCACATATTGACACCTAAATTTTAGCAATCCACTTACGCATTAATTGGATATAAAATTAAGGATCGACCCTGACCCCTAAACAAAAAGATTAATTTGCATATAGATATTAGGAGCATTTGCATTAGCAATTCGATAAGCTTATAAATTGCATTTTTCTATTATGACCGAAAAGGTCACATGAATTGCACAAGGAGCACTCAATTAAGAAAGATCAATTTCTTTGATTAAACTTGAGAAGCAATCAGGTTATTACATTGCCAAAATTTTTGGTCATATGGCAGCAAAAGGCAATCAGCATGATTCTCCTAGATTGGCGTATCTACTCCTGCAATACAAGGAAAATAATATAAAAAAGAAAATTAAGAGAACAAAGATGTGGGCATTTTTGGAGTGAGAGAGCACATTAGAAAATACACACCGAGAGAAATAGAGAATAGAGCGAGAGAGTCTCCGGCCGTGTCCCTCAAGGCCGTGTCTCCACCATGCCTTGCCGCCGCCGGTGTTGCACCGACGATTCCTGTTGGTGTCCATGGCTGCCTGACGACGACACCAACCCATGGCCGCGACCTTGCTCCTAGCTATCAAGCCCGACCAGCCGGGACCACGGTTTCTCCGTGCATCAACCGCCCGAGCAACTCCCGCGCCTCCGACGATCCACGATCTGCTGCTGCTGCTGCCGCTATACCGCGAACCAGCACGCCCCCAGGGTCGCCTGGACCACCGTCGCTGCCGTAGTGCAGATTTCCATCTAGTCCGACGGTGTCCTGAAGTGCTCTTCCGATAGTTCCAACAGCACCGGCGATCACCCAACGAGCTCTTGCGGCTTTGTTCGCACTCTCTTTTGCAGGCTTCGCCGAGGTCCAGCAAGGCCAATATCTCTCGACCAAGGTGAATAAGTCTAACTGGTGGATATATCTTTTGGGTGTTGTCCAGATTTGATAGTAACGTTGTGGGTTTTGTGATTTTATTTCATGCAAGCAGAAAGAATGGTGTTTGGGAAGAATAGATGAACAATATCAAGCTACTGCCGTGAGCCGAGCCACACCGCGCACCACCACCGGTCCCCTGCTTGCTCAACCACCGCGAGCCGCCTCACCCGCAATCTGAGCCTATTTCGATTTGGATTTCGCACCTTCAAATTAGGTAACAATCCCCGTCCAATTCGATTTGAATATTAAGTTAATATTACGGAAAACCCCAAATTGATACATTTATGACAAACCTCCGTTAACTTCCGTTAAATTTTACTGTTAAATTGCTTTGTTAAATAACAGTTGACGGATGTACCGCTTTTGGATTTTACCAATTTGGTTTTTCGTGGTATTAACCTTGAATATTTTACTGCTCAAATTTCGATTGATTGTTATCTAATTTGATATTAATTGAGATTTAGGCATTATCCAAGTAGGGATTTATTGACAAGGATTGATATAATTACTAATTTAATCATATCGGATCTTTTTTTTAATTATTTCAACTTAATTTGGGGTAACTGTGGTGCCCAAAGATTGTGATAATCTTTAATTGAATGGGATATTTTTTAGATTATCTCAATCTTTTATATAAAATTTTCGTGGATTGCGCTTGCGGATTAGGTAAGATACTATCTTTGATTTAGGTAATTACCATGTTTTAAAATATCAAAAATCCAAAAAAGATTACATTGCATATGATTAGATAAGGAATCTTCGTAATTAAATTAAAATGCATGTTTAGATATGATCTGTGTTAGATAACATCTTGAAAAAATAAAGAGAAAAAAAAACGGAGAAAAAAAAGAAAAAAATAAAATAAAATTCGGAATTTATTAAAAAAAAAGTGACTGAATTGGCAAGATCAAAAGATTTAGGACTACATTTGCACAATTAAAAAGTTTAAGACTTTTTTTACGCTTCTCCCACATGACTTTTGCATAAAAAAGAATTTTCCCATTGGTGCTTATAAAATACCAATTTAGAAACTTATTATAAGCAACTTCTCGTAGAAGTATTTCACCTCCAAAAGGAAACCATAACTTTCTCATCTTTTATTTCACCGATCAAACTCATCCAAGGAAAAAGCAAAATTTCGAGAGGCTGCAAACAATGGGTGACGACCGAGCTTTTGTCGGCCGTGAACCGGAACCCGAACCCCTGTTGGTTGCCAACGCGCCGCCACTTGCCGCCTCCTACAACGACTGGATCCGCCCCCTGCTCGACGCAGTCGACAAGCTCCGAAACCTCAATGTCATGAAGGAAGGCATCCCACTCCCCACCATCGTCGTCGTGGGCGACCAGTCCTCCGGCAAGTCGAGCGTCCTCGAGTCCCTCGCCGGCATCAGCCTGCCGCGCGGGCAGGGCATGTGTACGCGTGTACCCCTTGTCATGCGCCTCCAAGGCCGGCGTCCTGCCGACAGTCCTGAGCTCCACCTTGAGTTCAATGGCAAGATCGTGAACGTTGACGATGAGGACCATGTCTCCGACGCCATTGTATCTGCGACTGACGAGATTGCTGGCTCCGGCAAGGGCATATCGAATTCCCCACTGACTCTAGTTGTCAAGAAAGATGGCGTCCCGGATTTGACCATGGTCGACTTGCCTGGAATCACGAGAGTGCCTGTGCACGGCCAGCCCGAGAACATCTACGAGCAGATCTCGGCGATGATCATGGAGTACATAAGGCCTGAGGAGAGCATCATCCTCAATGTCGTGTCCGCGACCGTCGACTTCTCCACTTGCGAGTCCATAAGGATGTCCCAAGTAAGTATACTCTAGCCACACTCGTCTCCCATATCAATTAAAAACTCGAATGATTCATACAACTCTAGCAAACGGTCGATACAATAATCTGTTTTTATGTTTCAGATGGTGGACAAGACTGGCAAGAGGACTCTGGCCGTTGTCACAAAGGCTGATAAAGCTCCTGAGGGCTTGCAGGAGAAGGTGACGGCGGATGATGTCAATATAGGGCTTGGTTATGTGTGTGTGAGGAACAGAATTGGTGACGAGTCCTACGAAGAAGCGAGGCTCGAAGAGGCGAAGCTGTTCGAGATGCACCCTCAGCTGTGCAAAATTGACAAGTCCATCGTTGCTGTGCCTGTCTTGGCACAAAAGCTGATGAAGATTCAAGCCACCATTATAGCCAAGTGTTTGCCCGATATCGTCAAGAGGATCGATGACAAGCTGAACGCCAACCTCGCCGAGCTCAATAGTATGCCCCAGAATTTGTCCTCGGTCGAGGAGGCTGTGACAGCCTTCATGCAGATCATGGGGTCAGCGAAGGAGTCGCTGAGGAAAGTCCTGCTGAGAGGCGAGTTCGATGAGTACCCGGATGACAAGGACATGCACTGCACGACCAGGCTGGTGGAGATGCTCAACCACTACGCCAAAAACCTTCAATGCTCCACCGAGAATGACCTAGGGACTAACTTCTTGTTGGAAGAACTGGAGGTCTTGGAAGAGGCCAAGGGGATCGGGCTCCCGGACTTCCTCCCTCGCACCGCCTTTCTCACCCTTTTGCAGCGGAAGGTGAAGGGAATATTGAGCAAGCAACCGAGTTTCGGGGTTCGTGTTTGGGACTACATCAACGGAGTTGTGATTCGGGTCTTGATGCAACACTCGGAGAATTATCCTCAACTGCAGTCGTCCACGAGAAGAGCAGCCTCCAATCTGATTAACAAAATGAAGGGGAAGACGATGAATAAGATGATGAAGATTCTTGAGATGGAGAACCTCACTGACTACACTTGCAACCCTGAGTACCTGTTGCAGCGGAACAAGTTGATGACCCAGCAGGGCAATTTCATGGATCTGGTCAACCACTATCAGAGTTATGATAGCGAGATTGTCCTCGAGGGAATTGGGAAGGTCTACCTGGGCAATCTGAGGGAACGCAAGAAGCAGCTGGTTCAGGAGGCGTTCGATCTGAAGATGAGGATGACAGCGTACTGGAAGATTGTAGTGAGGAGGTTTGTCGACTGGATGGCGCTGCATCTGCGGTTCAGCGTGCACAACTTGGTGAACAAGGAGATGGAGAAGGAGATTGGGAGCGAGCTGATGGGGCCCCATGGCAGCGGCCGCATCAATAGGATGATGAAGGTAACGCCGGAGATGGCGGCAAAGCGCGAGAAGCTGAACCGGAGCATCAAGCTGTTGAGGGAGTCTGCGGAGGTGGTGGCCAAGAGCATGGACCGGATTGTTACTAATGGTGACTACAATAATTGATTAGTGTTGTTGTTCTAGTGGGTTATTTTTAGGTTGTTTTGTGTGGGATCAACTGGACTTTAATCAGCTTCTAATGACTGGTGTTTTTCCTGGGAAGGGAAAATGATCTTATCTCAACAGTTGTTTGATGACGGGAAAATATGAGGGAGACACCTAAAATTTTAACTATCCCGTTTCATCATCTATTGCATAAGAAAATTAGTGATCAGCCCCGATCTCTAAACAAAAATCTCATCTGCATAATATTTATATTATAGGTTGCATTTTAGGACCAACCTTTGTTGTAGGGAGCCAGAGATGATCACGATGGGTAATCTGAAGAGATATCCATGATCAAAGAGAAGATATGAGCTCGAGACTAAGAATTCTAACATTGTTGGAACCCAAACATTAGAGGTAAGGTCGGGATTTCGAATTCCAACATCCTTGGAGCTCAAACCTGAAATCGGACCTAGAATCAAATTTCTAACATTACGAGATCTTGAAACTAGCTCAATGAGCTCGAGAACGTGCTTTCCAAGAATGGGGATTGGAGTGTCCAAAGATCTTTAAATCCAAGTCTGCACGCTTTGAAAAATATGGCCGCATCCACATTCATATAAAGTGGGTGGTAAAATAGGAATGGTCAACCAATGGTTGGATATGAAGTCGATCGACCTTTGAGATCAAATCGATTGTGTTGCGACAACAATAAACTGTGGTGCGACAACACGAGATGGTTTATGACCTATACGAATTGTTCATTGAAAACCTACCACAAAAATATTCACTGATCCACGACAAAATGAACACTAATTATGACGTGTTATAACCTCAAATACTTTAAGAGTATTTCAAATTTCCATAATAGTCATAAATCACGATAATGTAAAAGCAAGTGGAGTACCAAAATAGGAATTGACCGATGCTTGGACATTAGTTGATTAAACTCTAGAAGTCGTATTTATTGTGGTGCAAGTTAAATAAACTGTGATATGATAAAATTAAAAGTGTTACGACTTGCTATGACTAGTTCATTGGAAAGTCATTACAAAATATCTTATTGACTTACAATAAAATGACTGCAATTACAAAGCGTTACAATATAAAAGTCCACAAAATTATTTTTAAATTTCACCAACTCTCATGAACGAGGAAAGTTTTAAATCAATTGATGGGTCAATGTACGAAGATGTTCGATAATCGGATATGATTGACTGATCTCTATGAGCATACTATAAAAATAACTTGTGGCACGACACAATGAGATGTGTTATGATTCATTAGTACTTGTCCATTGACAAGCTATTACAAAAATATGCATTGATCTACGGAAAATGAACATGATTACGATGTATTATTACCTTTGAGTTTTATTAATTTTCCTAATAGTCATGAACCATGATATTTAAAAGCAAGTGGACTACCAAAATAGGAATCGATAATCGATGCTTGGACGTCGGTTCATCAAACTCTTGAGGTCGAATTTATTTTGCTACAGCTAACACAAACCGTGAAATGACAATATTATATAAGTTAGGACTTGTTAAAAGCCGTTATGAAAGATTTCATTGACTTATGACAAAATGATTGCAATTACGACGTGTTACGATCCAAAAATTTATAAAGGGTAATTTTAAATTTATCCAACTCTCATTAACCATGATTAGCTCAAGCCAATCGGATGGAAAAAAGTAGGAACCGCTGAACCAATACTTAGACATGGTTGACTGATCTATGAGATAAAAACCATTATTATACAACAAAACCAAATCGTGATATGACAAAATGACATGTATTAGTACTAATAATGTCTTCTTCATTGAAAAAGGATTACAAAAATTGTTATTGGCTTACGATAATCATAAGGTGCACAATCTCAAATATCATGAGAGTATTTCAAGTTTTCAGAACCGTCATACACCATGATAATGTAGATGCAAGCGATCGACTGGAATAGTACACTTGGGACAAATGAAAGGCAAAACCTGAAACTGATACATTCGTGAATTGTCATATGTCATTTAATTAAGCAATTTGACAGTAAAATTCAACGGAAACTAATGGAAAGTAAATTTATCCCAAATGTACAAGTTTGGGGTTTTTTGTAATCAAAAAATTAATTTAGATAAATTTGTCACAAATGTACCAGTTTGGGGTTTTTGGTGGTCAAAAAATTAATTTTGAGTAAATTTATTATAGATATATCAATTTGAAATTTTTCGTGGTATTATCCCAATAAAATAATACAACTTTTTTCATTGAAAAGGTATTTCAAAAAGTTTTCACTGCTATACGACAAAATAAATCCAATTATGACGTGCTACGTCCTCAAATACCGTGAAAATATCTTCTCCAGTTATCACGAACCATAATAATTCCAAAGCAAGAGGACGATGTTAAGGCATTGCGACCTTGATCTCCAACGACTAATTTCCGGATTTGGGCAATGTTCTTGGACCCCAACAAGCATGGAACCAACCCAATTCCTCACTGTTTTTTTATCTATTTGTCGTTTTCTTAATTTCTTAAAAACTCTATTCTATAAAATTTTCGGTTTTAAATAATTTTATCTATTTATTTAAACCGAAAGTCCAGAAAAAAGAGTAAAAAGCGTCCAAGGAAAGGTGAAAAAGAATAAAAAAGAGTCCAAAGCGGCGAAAAGAATAAAAAGCATCCAAGGAAAGGCGCATCACTGCATGAAAAAGCGAACAAGAAAAGTCCAATCCATTAAATATTCTCGTGAACGATTTAAATATTTTTCGTTCATTTATTTTTTTTAAATGTAAGCGATCATTTTTAGAAAAATATTTTTTTGAATAATTTATTTTTCAAGAAATAAATGCATCTTGATGTGATTTATTTTATTTTAATTTTTATAAGAGGCAACCAATTTTACCTGACAATAAATAAATCAAATTGATTATCTTAGGCGGAGAATATTGTAGAAATTGAACCGCCTTTCATAACAGTGATTCCTCGTCAGAACTGCATCACCTCTTCTGATTTCTTTTGTCTTTCATTCATTATTTTTCTTTTGCGTGTAATTGACTCGAAAATTCATTAAATGAGTACTTACATATATCATTATCTCAAATGTCAATATATTTCTTTAAGAAAATGTACCAAAAGATAACGTCGAAAAACTTCAATAACAATAGTAGCAGTGAAGCTAATGAAACAATGACAATAAAATCGAAACCCATCATATAATCACTGGTTATTAATTTGGCTCTAAAAGAGTAGATGAAATCATTTTTTCGACGAACCGATTGGCAAGTGACTTATGCTAATATTGTATTATATTAGATAATGTGGATCACAAAGACCGAAACAAAATACATCCTAATAGATTTTGCAGCATAGAAATTTGCATAAATTTGCTTTTATAAGAGTTAGAATTAGAATACAAAGAGAGGTCGTGTGGAAGGCCGGATAGCTATTGCACACATTTTCCGTTCACACATGACTTTATCACTCGATTGAATTGACTCGGTCACCGGTGATTATGATTTTTGCGTCACATCACATCATATCTCCATATTCAATTAGATTCACCTTCGTTAACAAAATATAAACAATAGCTGATGTGCTAATGAAATTATTAGTTGCTTCATACCACATCAAATCTAATACAACTCATACGTACGTCACAATAGACATATTGAACGACGACATTATCCCTTTTGAGAGTAGGAAGGTGTGTCTGCATAAATTGTTACTTTTTACTTTTTCCTTAAAACCAAATCTTGTAATAGATGCGCTTTAACCTTTTAATTCCCTTGTGACACCCCAAACTTTTGTAATAAAGATAAGTGCACCGAAAGTCTTTGTTGAAAATAAACAAAGAACAAATGAAGGCAAGAATTTAACGAAGTTCAACAATGTGCCTACGTCCTCAGACAAAACTCTCACACTCTTCTTCTTCTTCTTCTTCTTTTGTATCGTGAGAGATGATCTGTCATTATTCTCTATATGTACAGAACAAGATTGCTACAACCAAGGAAACAAGCAACCATAAAAGGAAAAATATCCCTAAAATCAAGATGCAGAAATAGGAAATACAATATTCACATCTCCTTTCCAAGAATAGGAGCATGAATTCTGACAACACTCCCCCTCAAGTTAGACTAAAGAGGTCATCGGATGTCAACTTGTTCACCATCTCTTGAAACACTCCTTTAGATAGAGCATTGGTAAAGACATCCGCTAATTGATCTTCACTGCGAATATACAGGGTCTCAATAGTCTTATCTTGCACCTTTTCTCTAACGAAGTGATAGTCCACCTCTATGTGCTTAGTCCTCTCATGGAATACAGGATTCGAAGCAATATGAACAGCGGCCTGATTATCACAGAACAGTTTTGTTGGTTTGGTTATAGAGTTGCAACCCAACTCTTGAAGTAAAAATCTCAACCACACTATTTCACATGTAGCCGTAGCCATAGCTCAATATTCTGCCTCTGCACTAGATCGTGCAACAACCGCTTGTTTCTTGCTCTTCCAAGTGACAAGATTTCCTCGTATGAAGGTGCAAAAACCTGTAGTGGATTTTCTATCAACGGGGCTGCCAGCCCAATCCGCATCCGCATAACCAATGATGTCTGTGTGACCATTATTCTTCATCAGAATTCCCTTTCCTGGAGAGGCCTTCAAGTACCGAAGCAAGTGATTTATCAGTTCCATGTGCCCCTATGTTGGTTTCTGCATAAATTGACTCACATAGCTTACAGCGTATGCTATATCAGGTCGAGTAATAGTTAAATAGATCAATCGCCCAACAAGGTGCTGAAATTGCCCAACATCATGCAACAATGTATTATCATAAATAAACTTACTATTATAATCTATGAGGGTGCGCGCTGACTTGACTCCTAACTTACTAGTCTCCTTCAGCAAATCAAGAACATACTTTCGTTGAGATAAGAACAATCCTTTCCGAGATCTAGCAACCTCAATCCCAAGAAAATACCTCAAATTACCGAGGTCTTTGATGTCAAATTATTTATTTAAATACTGCTTGAGAGCTTCAATCCCGGACTGATCACTGCCTGT